GGGACGATGCTGCGCGGCGGCGGCAGGCGTTCCCGGGCAGCTCGCTCCACGAGGGTTTGCAGGAGTCGCCTGATGGTTCAGGGCTCTAACTCCTCCCAGAGCCCCGGAGAGGCATCTCCTCCTCCCGCTCGCCCCGTAGGTGTTTACCCTGGGATGTCAGCCATAATCTGAGATGAACTGAATTTTTGGCCGCTGGAGGACAGGGAGGCAGAGAACGAGCCATGGCTCCTGGAGGAGCTGGCTGACCGGCCCCGCGGGACACCTTTCTCGGGTTGATCCTGCTCTTGCAGCTCGTAGGTGTTACCGCTTGCAAGAGGCCACGCAGCGTGGCGTGGTCGGTGGGGGGGACACGCGTCCCCACGTCCCCGTCCCACCGGGAGGGACGGGCTGCGCTGGCGTTCAGCCTGCTCTCCTAGGGGGAAGGCTTCCTTGTGCGATCAGGGACATGGACTTTGCCCCCCCACCCCGGGGTGTGATGGGTTGGGGTCGCGTGGTGCAAATGGAGGAATCGAAGTATAGAAATGCTCCGTAATAAATGTGGGGGGCAAGACCAACAGCTGCAATTAAACGCACGTCTGGCCTGATTCCACGTCCACTGAAGCCAATCAAGAAACTTCCGTCAGGTGCAGTAGGTTTCGCTCCTGGCCAAACGCTTACATGTCAAAAAAGCTATTTCTTGTTTGTTTGGTTTGTAAGGGAACAACCTCCTCGGCTTCACTGCTGCGTGTGATCGCGTTGAGGCGGCGGGAGCGTTTCCGTATGTGCCGATCCCTGGATGAAGTGTGGCAGGAAGGGGCTCGGAGCGATGACACGCTGTCGCGGCTCGCGTCCCTTGCAGCTACGGCAAGGACAGAGCCGACAGGCGGGCGGGCGGTGCGACGCAGCAGGATACGGCTCGGGGGCAACCAGTTAGAGTCACGGTTATACCTGAAGAATTAATAGCATGCAAATTATTTTGCAAGCTGAGAAGCTGGCTGGGAGCTCATCCTTCTTTGGAGGCCTTTTGAGTTCCACAAAAACTCCCTGGGGTTTCCGTGAGCGCCGAATGTAGTGTAGCCCCAGAAGGAGCAGCCGATGCTCTTTGCATATTTGGCCAAAATGTTTCCTTTGAGTCAGCACCAAGGAGATTTAGAGGAAATGGGGTGGCAAGGAAACATTCTTGAGATGAATGAAATAAAAGCTCTCCTGGCTCAGAACAGCAAAATCCAGTTTCATTAGGCTCCGTCAGATGAAGTGGTGGGGAGGAAGGAAACATAAACTATTAAAGCTCCGTTCTCTTTCTTTCACCCTCTTCTCCCCCTCTTCCATGCTCACTGCGCATGATCTTCTGCTCCCTCTTCGTCCGTCCCAGTGCCCCTCTCGGCTCCTCCTGTCCCTCGTGGGGGCTGTGCATCTGCCAGCCAACGGCTTGAGTGCGAAGGATGCTATTTTCTGTTATGTAGATGTGAATCTATATGTGCAAGCTTGCTTGGGGCAGCTGAGGTCCCGCACTGCGACTCCCTAATGAACATTTCGTTGCAGCTTTCCTTCCTCGGAGAAGATCTACCTCGAGGAATCTCTATCTCTGACTCAGTGAAATACCTCTGGCCCATTTTGGTTTTCTAGGAGCAAGATGGGACTTCAGAGGGCTACACAGAGGGATTTTTTTTTTTTTTTTTGGATATGGGCCTGGGACCTGCTGCTGTTCACAGCTACTTAGACAGACTCTTGTAGAACGCTACTTTTCGCACTGCATCCCCTTCCGTCACAGGCTACTGAGGACAGCCAGGTGCTCCAGGCCCACGTGATGCACGTCGGAGGTGCTGTTGGCATGGGGTGTCCCTGCCCTGGTGCAGCCTGGTGCTGCTTCAGCAGCTCCCCGGCACCCATGGGTGCAGGAGAAGGGAGACGAAGCTTCAGATGCTGGTACACAGGAGAGGCGTCAAAATGCTTTTATGTTCTGGGCCGTGCAGGCAATGGTGGCGTCGAGCGAGGGATGCATTTACTGTTGCAGTTTGCTCTGCCCGTAGCCTTTCAGTCAGGGGCAGCAGGTAGCTATTAAAAACAGGGTGCCCAGTGCTCGGTACTGACGCTGTGTTTGCATCTACCGTTAACGTGGTTTCATTCCCGTACACCAAGGAACGGGAAAGAATAATTCACATCACACCAAACTTAACGGGGAGCGTTTACACATTCCCTGCCTTTTCTTAAAGCTGGAGAAAGTTGTGTTTTGTGGGAAAGGAAGGGGTAGGGCAGCATGTCCATCCATGTGCATGGCACAGGCTGGTGCCAGGGCGTCCTGCACCACGTCGGGCACCTCTGGCTGGCAGAGCTCCCCTGCGGGGCAGCAGCGCACCGAGCACCCACCGCTCGCTCCTCATTAGTTCCTTCAGGCTCGCTTTTTATAGACCCTCTTTCCAATTTCCAGTGATGTCTGAGTCCATCTGAGTTATTTCCTGTCATCTCCAGAAATAACGACCTCACTAAATATAGCTGGAGACGGAGGGAACTCGGCCCCGCTGTCCTCGGACGGCTCCGCTTCGAACTGCCCCCTGCCCCCGCCGGGGACCGCGGCCCGCGCGG